TGGGTCCCCCGGGGCCAAGCGCACGGACCGCCCCTCCACGCCCGCCGGAGAGTTGGTGAATGAATATGGATTTGATTAATCAATTACTCGGTGTCTTCTACCAAACACCCTCCCAAAGCAAGTGCCCGGAGCGCTCGGCCGCTGGCCCGCTGACGGGACACCCGCTCCCCCACCGTGTCCTACCCCGCCCCGCCCCCCGTCGCACCCGGTCGCACCCGGTCCCAGGGCCTTTCTGGTAGGATTTCCCATGGCACGCTTCCCGGGTTCCCCTCCTCCCTCCTCCCGTCCTCCCTGACTTCCCTCCCCCTCGGTGACCCTTTGTCCTCAAAACAGCTGTTTCTGGGTCAAAGACCATTCTCTAGGCTCCAGGGGAGTCTACTTCCCCGGGCTGAGGGACAAATCCCTCCAATGTGAGGCCAGCAAGGTGAGCCAAATCCTCACCCCAGAACCTGGGGCGCACGGAGGGGCCAGCGCTAGCGAGGTGGGGGTGGGAGAGGCTCAGGGGCTGGATTTCTGGGACTCTTGGTCCCTCTGGGGAGGGGCTTCGGACACAGGATCTCTGTCCCCAAGGGCTACCCCACAAGCTCCAGCCCAATTGCCAGGTTTCCTCGGTGACCCTGTCACTGGGGATTTGTTTTTGCCTACAGTTTGAGAGAATCTCTGTTGCTGGAATAATGACAGTCTCCCCCCCTTCCCTCCAATAGGCAGATTTTATAAACCAGAGCAGCTGCCTGAAGGTTTCCAAGGAAAAAATTCTGCACAGTTTCTAACCAGGGTGACAGTTCCCCCACAGGAAGTTGCTTTTATTAATTTTTTAATATCTCTCTCTCTCTCTCTCTCTCTCTCTCTCTCTCTCTCTCTCTCTCTGTCTCGGAAAGGCTCCATCTATCTGTCACCAGGCAGTACCTTGGACATTGTGGATGCTTGGGCTCCTGTTCACCCCCCCATCCCCCCTACCCCACCCTCTTCCCCCCAATGCCCGATTACATCTAAACCACAGAGAGTTTGCTCAACACAGGGGCAAAGATCGAACCACTGAAAAATGGGTCACTCCAATCGCCTGTGCAGAAGAATCCCAAATAATTTATGGAGGTATTTCTCCCTGAAGGAGGAGGAGCAGAATTCCCTGCTTCTTAAGTGTGGGCTTAGCATAATGATTTCCTTCTAAGAGCACTGTATGGAAAGGGAGCAACAAGAGTCACTTAGCAATACAGAAACCTGACGAGCACCACTCCAGGCTGGTAAAAGGGAGCATCGGCTGTGATGAGTCATGTCTGTAGCGTGTGCTCCTGATATGATGTGCTGAGAATGGCCTGTCCCCGCCATGGTCTTCCTCCCCAAACCCCAAACCCCAGGTGAACCTTGAGAAAAGCATCAGACAAACCAGAGTGGAGCACGTAAAACGCCTCTCAAGTGTCCCCCTAAAACAAGGCAAGTCTGAGAAATGGACTCGGCCCAGAGGAGCCTCAGGCCTGGTGACAGATGCTGTGTGGTATTTTAGGTAGAATCCCCCGCAAGGAAGGACAATAAGTACAAGCTACTAAAATCTGAATAGATAGTGGGGTTCATAGGAATGTGCCCACAGTGTCTCCTTAATCGTGACAATGTGCCACGATTGTAAACAACAAAAGAAACTGGGTCGTTGGGCACGGCAACTCTCCACCATCTCCACAGCTTTTCTGTACACCTAAACCCATTCTAGAATAACAAGGTTTTAAATGGATCACAGGTTTGCATTTCAGGCCAGTCCCCAAGACTTTTGGTTCCTTCTTTTTGCCAGCACTAAGAATCTGAGCTGCTGATTTTGGGGGTGTCCAAACCCCCAGATCCCAATCTCCACTTCCATAAGAAATAGGATCATTTTCAAGGCCTCCCTGGGGGGGGGCGTTTTTTTTCACTATTATGGTGTCAGGCACACAGCAGGTGCTCAGTCGGTGTTTGTCAAATGAATGAAACGGGAAGAGGTCGGTGGAAGGAAGGGATCCAAGCAGAAAGCCAAGCTCAGCCCTTGCCAGGCCAGGAAGAGCTTCCCTCCCACTCTCCATCCACCGGGAAAGAGTTCTGCAGTCTGGTTGGAAGAGGGCAGGCCACGTTCCTGGACACTGCCTTTGGAGAGCAAGCAGAGGGATTCCCTTAGGACTGTGGAGATGAGAGGCAGACTGGCCCTCCCAGACATTCCCTGTGTCCTCATCCAAACTCCCACCTTCCAACCTCAAAGGGCCACCACTATCCCTCAGTCCAGATGCCAAAAACTATCTGCAAAGAAGCTTCTTGGAGTCAGAACTGTCTGCCAGGTCCTGGGTGCTGTGCCGCCAGCGGAAGGCACTCCAGGGACGGGACAAAATCACACAGCAGGCACTTCTCATTGTTCACGTTGGTGGCCACCATTTATTGTGCACCTGACCGCAGGTGGAGGAGGTACAAGCTGCTCCCATCGTGAGGATCATCAACTCCATTTTGTAGAAGAAACAGAGACCCCCAAGAGCTTAAGAAATACTCCAGAGTCACAACTAGAAAGTATAGGGTAGAGGTTTCAAATCCAAGTTATATTAGCCAAATCCACGCACTGCCCCCTCAACATCTGTCCCCTTCCTCTAGACCAGAGCCTTCGCCCAGGCCCTGCTCTCCAAGAGGCACCCCATGCTCGTTCCTTTGTCTGCAGCCTGCAGACAATTGTCATTTTTAAGTCTCTTTGTTTTAAAACTCAGTTTGTCCATTTCCACCTTAGAAGTTCTTCTTGATATTCCTTCAGGCCAGCACCCTGGACAGACCATGGAAGCAGAATCCAGGGAGACGTTTGCTTCTTACCAGCATACAGCCCTGGGTGCTCCAGTCGAGGCTTGGGTGTTTAGAGATCCCCTCCCCTATCTTGCTCTTTTAATAGCCTTTTCCGTATTTACTGCTACCTATTCAGATCCTTCAAATATGTCCTGTGCTTGGTATAATTTTATATCTGTCCAGTCCCTAAAGTGCCTTCCCAACAAATGTCCACATGATGTTACAGTCTGTTTAAAAGATTTATATTCCCTTTGGCTGAATGGAGACACAGAGAAAGGTAGACTCTGTCTTCCCAGGCAGAGGACCTGTGGTCACTGTCGGGGCAGCCTCTAGCAGGTCCCATTTAATATATCACTTATTAAAATGGACCTGCAGCCATGGCCCAGAGCTCCGGAGCTGCCCCCTTCGCAGCAGAGGGCAGCTCCAGGCATAACTGACCATATCCAAGACTTGCCCCCACCCCAGCCCACCCGACACACTCCTCTGTTGTACAGAGTGACAGAGATGGCCAGGGCTTCTAGACAACAACCCACAAAAAGACCTCCAAGGGCTGAAGGACATGGTTGCAGCTGGGTCTGAGCCTGGGTTTGGGGTCAGATAGTTCTGCAACCCCACCCTGAAACATGGGCTCTGCGTTCCAGTTCTTCCTCTGCATCTTACTGAGTCACCTCACACTAGTTACTTACCCTTTCTGAGCCCTGCCTCCCACTGTATAAACAGAGTAATAATAGTGCCTCTTCATGCCTCTGTTGGGAGCCTGATATACAGGAGAATTCCCGTGGAGGCTGTGTGGTCCTTTTAGCCCCTCTGGGGCCTCAACTTTTTAACCTGCTGAAGGCAGTGAGTCCCTCTGGGTTTCCAGGGTTGCTGGGGCCGTGGTGTGGGAAGGAACTCAGTAATTGCACTGTGCTTGAACCAGGTGGTCAGGGGCAGCAACCTGAGCATGGACTGAAACTGTTTTTTGAATCTTCTCATGTGGCTCCTGCCCCTGCTGGACAACGGATGTCCAAACTGAAGGTGGGCCCTGCCCCTAACTCTCCAGGCAGCACCCCTGGGACTTCTAGGGGGAAAGAGCAGAGGATCGGTGTGCTCCTTAGTACCTAAAGAACCTCAACTCCAAGGCATTGGAGGTGCCCAGGGTCAGCAGGGAAGAAAGCCAGGGTCAAGAGGAGGGTCATGTGGCTGGGGAAACCAAGCTGGCATTCCCAAACAGTCACCCCGCTGACCTGCCAGCTCCAGCTTCCGGTGTCCTCTTAACCAGAGGAACCTTGGGCTGGAAGCTGAGGCCGGGGCCTCCACTGCCTGAGAAGGGGGATGAGACATCACCCTCCCCCATGGGCCCCTGGAGCCCCTTCTTCTCACCCCCTCCTGGGGACTCTCACCTGATGTCTGAGTCACACTGAGGCTCCTGTCACTGTGAGCTGTGTTGTGACTCCTCGGCTGACAGTTTTATAACAAACACATTAAAAGCTCCCTGCACTGGGGTTTCTGGATGTGAAACAGCCCAGGAGGAAAATCTCCTGGTCTTTCTTTCCAAAGCCTCTTGCTCCAGAGGCCTGACCCACCACCGCGAACCGCCCCTGAGAGGCTGGGATGTTTTCGGAACAAGCCTCGGGAAGGGGTGACTGGGCTCATCCTCATGCAAGGACCAAGGAGCTCTGGAAGGTGAAGGTGCAGACAAAGAGCTAAGCTCATCCTCAGCCCGGTCTTGGAGGACAGGTGGGCCTCAGTGACACATTAAGTGGACACAGATTGACCCAACACTGAATGCTCCCGCATGCTGAGTGTCGTTCCTGCTCCTCTCCACCCTATGAAGTTGGTGCTGACTTATCCCCCCTTGACAGATTAGGCAACTGAGACTTGAAGATTTGAGAGCCTGTCATAGAGCTGGGATCTGAATGAGTCTGTCACCCTGTAAGCACTACTCTAAACAAGGCTGCCTGCCTGCCAGCCTCCCAGCCATCCTCTCCTCACCATCCAAGGATGGCAGAGGCCTCGGGGAAGCAGAGAATTCAGCCTGCAAATTCAAAATGGAGTGAACTTGCCCTTTGGGTAAGGACTTGCCCATTCAGCCCATCTTCCCTCCCACAGTGCCCCCCAGAGGACCCCCCACAATGTGTTTTTGCCTCACAAGCCAAAACCACCATCCCTTCCTTCCTGTCTGCAACCAGAAAATTGACAGCAAGTCCCTCAGAACCAAAGTGGAGGAAAGAGAGGAGAGAGACACAGGAACGGTAATTTTATTGTACATTGGAGAAATAGCCCTGTGTGCTGGTTCAAGGTGCAACATACAGAATATCCAATTTAAGAAAATAGGGAACCAGGAAAGAAAGGGAGGGGAAACCTCTTGAGGTCCAAAGTTGCAAACAAAAAATGGTAAAAGATTCCTCACGCAAGAGGCATTTTTGCAAATACCATGCAAAACAGGCAGCTGCTGTGCCTTAGAGAATCCCTATAAATAACAGAAGACTCCAAGCATTCCTTTATGTGGACTCAGAGCACAGGGAAAAGGAAGGAAACAAAATGCCTTTTGGCATTTCAAGATATTTGGCACTCTTGTGATTACATTTTTTTTTTTCTTTTTACAGTCCATTAGAGAGAATAAACTGACACAATATTAGAGAAAAAAAACAGGCGGCTCAAACAACAGACTGCAGCGGGGAGGTTAGAAAAAGCTCAAGCATTTTTTTCTTTGTTTTTCCTGTTTTTTTTTTTCTGACATATAAAATGTGTCCATTTGCATTAACTTGGGCAAATAGCTTGCAGCAACAAAGAAACACAAGCTTTACAATTCATTTTAAAATAAGACAAGGATCCTTTCTATGTATCATTCCTTAGAAAAGTTATCTTCTTGTTTTAAACACATTCCTGATAACTTCAAAAGATGACCAAAATAAAACAGTATCTACAGATATCATTTTCTGATTTTTTTTTGTACATCCAAAGTTAACAACATAAAAAAATAAAACTAGACAGCATTTCACATCCAAGTGCACAGAATCATTTTTGCAAGATTAAATAATGTAAACATTGGGAACAGCCAAATCAGCGAAGAATACCAACACCTCATCCGGTGTTGCCCCTTCGTTAAGTGGTTCAAAATCCAGATCTATAATTGCGCAATATTCACGGTATAGAAAAAGAAATAGATATCAATTTTGACAAATAGCTGCAACTGAGACTTCTTTTTTATTTCTTTATATAGTGTATATAGTGATTTAATTTTTTAAATTTTATGTATTTTATTTTTATTTTTGCAGAGGAGCCCAGAGCCTTCTCCTCCTCCTCCTGCTCCTTCTGCTCCTCCTCCTCCTCCACACGCCTCATCTGTCTCCAGCCCGGCCTGACAGGTGACACAGGTTGTTGATTTCATCGTGGGTAGCAAGCTAGTAATAAATTGCAAAGTGCTTTCTCTTTTTCATGCTTTTTGCCAATAACTGCTCCCGCCGAGGTTCTTATTCTTTCCCTTAACTCATTGTCTTTGGGGGAGTTAGACACCCGGAGGTGCCTTGTCGGTCATATTTTTCAGCACGTCATCAATCCTATCATCTTCAATAACAACTGCAAAAAAGGGGGGGGGAAACAGAGGTGAGCACGCTTGGGCCCTGCCAGGGGTCTTCGATGTTTCTGCCAAGTGGGGAGGGGGGAGAGGGAGAGGGAGGAGGGCTCACTGCCCGGTGAGACAGCCCCCTCCTCCTGGGAGGCTGCCTAGGGACCCTTTACAGCCAGGCTCTGAACTGCGCTACCCCGAAAGCTGGGTGCCAGCTGAATGGTGCAAAAAAGGAAGCCCAGAGGTCGCGAACGCAGCAGCGGGCTGCAGCCAGCGAGCGCTCTGGCCGCGTCCTTCCCCCACCCCGTGCATTTTATTGAGAAAGGAGGCTCCTTCGCAGAGAAGGGAGAGGAGTGGGAGCCCCGGGTCTCCGAGGCTCTGAGCCCCCCGCGGATGTCCCCAGCGCAGAGCGCGTGGCCAAGGCTGAGTGCAGAAGAAGCCAGGAGGGGACGCCAGGGCCGGTTCCCACCGCGAGAGAGCTGGCGGAGGGTTCGGTCCTGGCCTGGGCCGGCGGCCTCCGGCCCTTGACTCTCCGGGTGGCTGCAAAGGACAGTCTTCCTTCGCCGCCTGCCTGGGGCTCTGCCTCTCTCACCATCTCGACCTAGCCGAGCCTTTCTCAGTCCCTCGGCGCGACGGTCGCCTCTGGAGATCTCGGGGTCTCTACGTCAGGGGTGCCGCTCACGCTCATTGTTACACTGCTTCCCTGTCCTCCCGAGACCTGCGTCCCAGGCTCCGGGCTCTCCCGCTGCAGCTGCCCCTAGAGCTTTGTCCCCGGCTCTCTGCCGACCTCGTTCTCCCGCGTACCCGCTCCCTTCCACCGCTACGTCTGTCTCTCCTGACAGCCGTCGGGCAACCTCCTGTCCCCGCGTCTCTGGAGCTCCTCTCGGAACCTCCCGGCGTCTCGGTCTCTCTGGGGTTTCTCCAGCTCTCGAGCCGAGCGCCGAGCCGTGGCAACTCCCCACCACCTCCCTTTACCAACTAACACGAAAGCCCGTGCGACCCGAGTGCCCCTAGCCACCGCGGCAGGAGTGGGAGCCTCCCCAACGCGGTTTCCCACGCCGTTCCTTGGGGGACCCTGGGACCCTCCCCCAGGACAGTACAGCGAGCGCAGCTGCGACTCCACTGCGCAAAAGAAGGGGGGTGAGAAATAAAAAAGCAAACTTTGACGCGGGTGGGGAGCGGGTATAACCCTTCGGCCTCCGCCGCAGCTAAAGGCCGCCACGCCCCCGGTGGACCCCACTCGGGATCCAACTGAGGGGGATGCCTACCCTTGGTCTGCCCAAACCCAACCCGCAGTGCGGGATCCCCCAATTCTGCGGGAGGGGATTCCATCCGGTTCGAACAGGCTCTGGTGTTCGGGAGACCCCTGCAAGCCTCCGCCAGGCCGCAGCGCCGGAAGAAGGAAGGAGGTGTCGGGGAAGGGACTGAGGACTCACCCCGCTTGCTCCGGCCGATCTGGCCCAGCTTGGGCGGCCGCTTGTTCTGCCCGGCGCCGAAGAAGTTGTTGGTGTCCTGCAGGCGGCACGAGAAGATCTGGCCCACGTCGCCGCCGTCGCCGTAGGGGCTCAGCTTCTCGTCGCCGTAGGGCAGCACCTCCGACATGGTCGCGTCCGGGGGCTCCGCGGCGGC